CTACGGAGAGTTTAGGCGGGTAAGTTGAGTTTACTATCGTCTGTACAGTATATAAATTAGGTACCGTAAGTCTAATACAGTACTGTAATTTTATACATTTCTTGTGAAAAAAACATTTCTTATTCAACGGCCATAAAAATTATTTATAATAATGTCTCCAAAGTTCAACAAAGTTTTCGCAGAAAAATAACTTATCAGAAATTGCGACCACTGTTTGGTGCGCTGCTCTGTGACGAAAACAAGCTTAAGCAATGCAACATCGAACGGTGCACACTCGGTAAGTAATCCTACAATTTTTTGTTTATAGCATAGTTTATACGGATTATTCCCAAAAAATATATACGTATTTTGGAAATGTTGAGTCAAATTAGTCTAGGAATCGATTAATTTTATGGAAGAAACCTTTCAAACAGTCATAGTCCTTAAAGTGCATACGTGCCGTGCTGTGATTGGCAAGGACTCGTACAAAATGGATTCGTAAAGAACGGAACGTATCTACCGTGTTATAGGGAGGTCAACTGTATAAAGTAGAGATTAAAATTCATTTTAAAACATACTTTTATACGAAATATTATCTTTTGTCAATGATTTAATCTATTTAATCAAAATATACGCAGCAATATTCATGTTGCAGACAGAGTGAGAAATAAGTAAACAACAATTCAAATTGGTGTGCATGCTTGCCTGCGCGGCACATAAATTCTTGTGTGCGGCAACAATTTGAGCAGTGCGCAGCCGCGCAGCTTAGAGGGAACATTGGTTGTGTCACGCATTGTATTTTAGACTTGTCCTGTACCACCCTAATTCGAGTCATATGGTAATGACATCGCTGATTGGTTAGCTGCCAGGACATGTGACAGGTGATGTTTTCAAGATGGAGGGTGTTATAAAAGGGAAGGTAACACCTGTAGGAGGACTTTTTGTTTTCCCTTCCTTGCCTGGGTGCAGTTTGGATGTTAAGCTTGGAGACGAATGAGTGAGTGTGAAGTCACGAGGAGTTCCAGCTAGAACAAAGGACAGATTGCACGAGGTTACAAGGGAAAGGTAATCCAATTCCATCAGCAAGAGACCGCAGGTAGATCGGACGGAGAAAATTAAGGTGATTAGGTGCGAATTAACAGGACCTAACGTGACTATTATTATCCAAAAATTGTATGGTGATATTTTAAAAAACACTCAGTTTCAAAGAAGAGAATATCTACCCCTAACAGAGGTACTGTACATATATATACGCATCAACGAGGGTGCAGTTAATTCTTACTTTGAAATCACCCTTGACTAATTGTTAGTCATTTAAGCACATGAACGAAGTAGTGTCGGGTATATGTTAATTCTATGTTTTTCTTTGTAATCATTAAACATGTCTGTCAACATCACGAAAAATTTTTGTAAAGTCCTCTGTTTATCCCATCATATAAGCTAGATATATCCGAGATATTACACTATTACAACAATAAAAAAAATATATTCATTGTGGGACTTACCACAGTTCTTTAGTCTACAGAAATTTTATATCTGTAAACTGAAAAGTTCATCAAGGGTGAAACTTGAAATGCATTTTGGTAATATAGATGATTCTTCTCATGAACATTGACNATTAAACATTATTAAAAATAAAATACCAAAACAAAAAATGCTTCCAATACTATAAAAGTTGTGTTAAAAATAGCAAGTTTTTTAGGCACTTTGCACAATGTAGTGCATATATTGCCCCCCATCTATGAAAACACTCTCTTACAAGAGTGGAAATATGGTACGTAATCTCTAATTATTTGCAGAAAGATTATAGGTTTACATTTCTGATATTCTTCTGGTCTTAATCAGACAGAGTAAGATAGCAAATGAGCTCATATTTTAGACAAAGACATTGTAACGATGAGGTTAATCGAAAGGAAGGTCGATTCTCTATCTCTTATAAAAGACAAATTCTTTACAGCAATGAATATGCCAAATTATGATTAATGTTTTAAAATAAAACGTTCAGTTGGATAAAATAAGACAAAATTCTCAATTAAATCAATTAACATTATGCATTTCTATAATAAAAATAACTGTGTGAAATTTTTAAAAATTTCAAATTATTTAAATGCTTTAATCTTCTCAGTTTTTAAACTCAACTTATTACTTTCTAATGTAAGATCAAAGAACTTTTTCAGTTAAAACTTGTTTGATTTAGGCATATGTATTTTCAAGGTTAAAGAGTTTTTTCACATTATAAATACATACAAAAAGTTGTGAAATTTATAAACGTATTTAAGAAATATACGAATACAATATAAATTGATAATAAATAAAAACTTACCAAGGGGTAGAAGAGAATGTATGATAATTGTTAATGTAGATCTACATATATGATATTCAACAAACTTTACATTCTCATTAGTGTTGATACACTCAATTAAATGATTAACCGTGAGTCCCGCTGTAATGAATTCAGTCGGAGGTGCTACTATACAAAAACAAAATAACACATAAGTAATTGAGAAAAGAACTAATTCCGAATATAAAGTCATTTTTTTCTGTAAACTACACAGTAAATGTCACCATGGTGACAATAACAACGCCGATGACCTAAATGACAACGACACCTATCGACGAAATAAAGTTAATCTTACGAATTTATAAAATATATATATATTTTATTATTATTTCAATCACGTTTAGCCTAAATACTCCGAATGAAATAAAATAATAATCAGGTACAATAAAAAGTTTTATCTTAATTAATATTTTTATAACATAAAATTGTCTTAAAAATTGCTTCATTTAAATAATTGTTACAAAATTGATAAGTTAAATCATATTATATGATTATCTGGCATTCTTACACAAGTATCACATGTTTAAACACAATTATCACTTATTATTATTTTCTTAATCTTTATATCAACTGTTAATGAAACTAATCAATTATTGATAACTAATGTCAGATACAAACATCACGTGTTTAGTTTATTTAAACATATAATACACAATTTATTACTCGAAAGATATAACTTGAAATAAATATAATTTCAAGTTGTTTTTCTTTCTTAAAATTCCTAATAAATATTTAAAATAAACAGAAAGCGATTGAAATGATTAAAAGATTCAGAAAAATGAATACAATGTATTGTTCCTATCTTAATACTTTGCATTGAAATTATATTACAATTTTCAGCATTTTTCTTCTTGGTTTTAACTTTGATAAAATCATAATAATTTTTGAAGTATCAAAATAATAAAAATAAATTAAATTTGTGTCTTTTAGAATAATTTAAATTATAGATTGATGATAATTTATAAAATGTAAATAACGTATACATATTCACTCCTGTATAATATAGTAGTAGTAGGTGATTACGTGATATAATCTGTTTAAAATGATAAGGATGATACTATAATGATACCCAAGTTCATAAACAGAAAGATTTGTAGGATATTGTTTAATTAAGTAATAGGTAAAATGTAAAAATAGTAGTGGCGTGTCATCATTGGAGGCAGTGGAAGCGCCGCTTCCCTTGTATTTTCTAAAAAATAAATACATATTGCGCGATTATTTTCATATTTTAATGTATTTTGGATTAATTAAAATTAATATTTTATTATAACCGCATTATGTATCTTATTACAAATTTCTATACTACACGTGAAAAAAACGATAAGATCGCTATTGTATATTCGAATATNATATTTTAATGTATTTTGGATTAATTAAAATTAATATTTTATTATAACCGCATTATGTATCTTATTACAAATTTCTATACTACACGTGAAAAAAACGATAAGATCGCTATTGTATATTCGAATATCGGTGGCGGAATGGAAGCGCTGTATTGTCGAAACCGGGTCAGCTTCCAAACAGGCAGATTATACGCATTCGCGATTTCGCTTTACAAAGCACTATCCTCACGCGGTTTAGCTGGTGGAAGCTACACACACATAACGCTTCCAATAATTCTATCCCGGACCGGTTCTGGACTGTTAGCCGCCTGCCTGCTAGATATTTGGCTGCCCTCGCCCGATTACGTGAATCTCGAATAGATTTATAACTTAACCCAATCGATAGAAATTTACTGGTATGTTTGTATGTATAGTTGACAGGGGTTTTAAAAAATTCATTAAAATATTTGATATTTTTATTCCGCTCTCCCATCTTATATTACTTATGAATTTCAATGTTAACACAGAAATAAAAAACAAATTAAAAAAACATTTTTCTTTAATATACGACTATACGCCACATTTTGTAACACAAATACCGTGGGCAAATTACTTAAACATAATATAAATCGTTACAGAAAAAATTCAAATTTAATAAAAGTATACAGTTAGTCACCGATTTTCACGACGTAAAGAATTCCTAAAATGTAACGAAAGTAGTGCAATGAAAGTTCCATTTCCAGAGTTAAGAAAAATTATAAAATATTTTGTTAAGATAGGAAAGTATTTCAGTCCATAAAACATTATTTAAAATGTTAAACCGATGGTTTTAACGTTTAAAATAATGGTTTAATTAAATTAAGTTAAAGTGACGCCGAAATTGTTGCGATGCCGAAATGTATTCCAGAATTTTCCAAAGAAGATCTGTACTTTTAAAGAATCCAGAAGAATTCTCACTTTAAAATTTTAATTCATGTTAAAAATGCGTATATCTGTAAGTAAACAATTGCTACCGTTCATTAATAGAGAGGTTGAGGCGCACGTTTTAAACGTGTAAACGTGTACGTGTGACGTTCGGCGCCGCTTTCCCGTAAGCCTAAAAGTTTGACAATGGTGTTTGGATAGTCGGTGGAATCACGCTCGACATTCCAAACACCATCGTCAAACTTTTAGGCTTACGGGAAAGCGGCGCCGNTTAAACGTGTAAACGTGTACGTGTGACGTTCGGCGCCGCTTTCCCGTAAGCCTAAAAGTTTGACAATGGTGTTTGGATAGTCGGTGGAATCACGCTCGACATTCCAAACACCATCGTCAAACTTTTAGGCTTACGGGAAAGCGGCGCCGAACGTCACACGTACACGTTTACACGTTTAAAACGTGCGCCTCAACCTCTCTAATAGTTATTTTTGTAGATAATATGAGTGAGGCGAGGCCGTATATAAAATATTTGGAGTTCTGATGATTCTGGTTATCTGATTACGTAGCAGACTGCTACGTAATCAGACAAGTAGTTATCCGCAAACAAAAGCTTTTGTGGGAGAAGAAATCACTGCTGCAAAAGTATACATTCATCCGAAAAGTACGCTGCCTAAGCTATTGATAATCCTGCAACTTGTGTGTAAAATAAATTAATAAAATGAAAATTTTATAGTTTGTGTTATTTGCTGTTTAACATTAAATTGCAGTCTTATTATTTTTAACTATGACATATGCAAGTACTCCGGTAAGAAGGATGAGCGTGGACATGGTAACTGTAAGAACAGGGCGCTGGCAGTCTCGTATTATCTGTATCAAAATCTCGTCAGTTTGCTTAAGCTGTAATCATACCCAAAAAAAAAGCATTATAATAAACTAACGCAGAAACAGGAAACAGAGACATTTTCTTTTCCAGTAGCACGGAAAAAATCCAGAAAATCGAAATGAAAAATGTTTAACTCTTCTGTTGTAGTACAGGCGTACCGACGGCTGGATGGTCGAGCGGTCAAGGTGGTAGTTCAAGCATGTCAAACTCAATGCTAACACGGGCCAAATAAATAAGGTTTACATGAACCGCAAAAAACAAAAAGTTTAATTAAGCACATTCTGATACTTTTTTTGTTGCCGCATAATTCGAAAAATCCAGTTTTATGTAAATATGTGGTAGTAAAGATCAATAAAACATGAATTGCGCTGTTAGATAAATTTATATATTCTTTGCTTATGTTAATCAAAATGTAATTAAAAGAAATTTAAAATTTTTTTCTTTTGTTTTATGCAGCATTGATATAGGATTAAAACGTGTCGTGAACAAAATGGTGTACATCGAACACCAATTTCTCACCGAAATAATACATTATGTGAGAGAATGTACAGTACAGTAACATTACTGAACAGTCCAGACAAAATGAAAACAATTTATATGGGAGTGTCTAGTGTACAATAACAAACTGTTTATGAAATTGTCGTTACTTGTTATTAGACTATCAATACACATCTTATGTTTCTGAGATAATTTATTAAATCAAACTAAGGTTTCCAGCCTATTCAATAGGCCATACTCAGGTTAAACCAGAAAACTGAAACATCGGCGTTCCAAAATAGAATATGTAAATTTAAATACAAGAAATTATATCGGAAAATAAGAAAATAACAAAAAGATTAAATATATATATATATATCTAGATAAGATATATATATATCTAGATAAGAATTAGCAATACTGAAATACGAGCGCAGATAATTTCTTACCATACTAAATTCCCAGAGATTTAACAGAAAAATTCATCACAAAACGATTATTGATGCGAATGTCTGAAATTTTATTTAATCGATGAAAGTTGTGATCACCAGAGCTCCTTCGGCCCCCAATTTAGTGTTTTCATCTTTAAAATTGGCGTTTTCACTTCCCGGGACGAGGACCCAGGGGTTGGATTTGTGGGAAGCGAGTGTTCGAGTTGTTTCATTGTGTCAAATTACTGAGGACGAGGCGCATGACGTGTAAGTGCACGAGTGCGAAAATTCGAGTAAAGGTTAAATGCTTTATATCTTCGTTTACGGTGATGTTGTGTCCGTGTGTGTTTCTGTGGGTGTGATCGAAGAACATCTTTCGGCATGTCTAAAAACAGAAAAGCAGTAAATTACAATACGAGAATAAGATGTGTAAAAAAGAAAATGAAAGAGTTCTTACCATCGGAGACTTCGGGAAATATTCACATGTATTATAAACGGCCACTTTGTCCTTTTCGTGGTAAAGTTGGAGAGGAAGGCTCATAATCATTTCAATTAAACAACCCATGAAAAATTCCTGGACTGGTCGCCCAGATTCGATCTCCTTGGAGTCTGTTTCTGACTTCTACAGCCTGTTGCCGTGTATGAGTTCCTGACATATATATTACTTCCAACACCTACTCACAGACAGGTAAGAGTGACCCATATAATGGAAAATTTGGCAAAATGACTATTCTCTTTCTGTCAGCCTAATGATGCGGTCTTTTTCAAACTTAAGGCGTCAACGTACTATCTCGATAATCCGGGCAAGCAATTCCAGGAATATTTTATCAGCGGTCTGTTACAGATGTATTGGATCTGGCCGATTCCAATGGTATGGAAAATGGCCCTCAGAATGCTCAAAAAGCGAAAAAACCAAAACATATGTCTTTCTTTGTCCTGCACAGTACAGGCATACCTAATACCCCGTTCGTACAGAGCATTTCAAAACTAGATTATGACCAAGGTCGGCGACTATGCCTTGGTGCGACCTCTCTCGACCGTTGCAATCTCGATTGAAACGAGGTTCAATCGCGATCGACTCGAGAGTTCTTGAAACTAGATCCAGTCATAAGAGAGATTCCATAATCCCACGCGCGCGAGAAAATACAAGATAGCTGCGGAACACGTGTCGGGCTATCGACAGAGAAATAAAAAAGATACTGTATTTGGAGAGA